ACTAGCTCATGCTCATGTGCTTAAGCAGGGTATCGCAATCTTGATGTTACTGCCATTCAGGACTAGAAAATGTTTGCCGTAGGAGCTGTTCTATGCATTGTAGCATGTGTAGCAGCATCCCAGGCCTTTACTCACTAGATGCCAGTAGCTCCCCACTCTGCTCCAGTTGTGACAACAAAAAATGTCTCCAGACATTGCCAAATGTCTGCTGGAGAGCAAAATCACCTGTAGCTTAGAACCAGTGGGTTAAGTGTAAAAGAGGCACTTGGTATATACATAATGCCATGTGAATCTTCGTGAAGAAGTAAACTTTTACCAGGAAAATAACTTGTTAAACAACTCATTCCCATTTTCTGTAACATTTGCAAGGCGTAATGAATAGTGCATATATTACCAAATACAAAAACATTAATTCACATGTTTTGAATTACCTCATTTTGTTATTCTGCCTAGAAAGTTCCCCAATAGCATAACATCTCTGCTTGAAGTATTTATTTATTTTTATTTTTTTTTAATGTGATGCCTGTGTGAAAATGTTTTCAAACCCTGACCATGGCAGGGACTGAGAAAAAGCTGAGAGATTTGGAAACACATTCTGTAGTTCCCTCCTTAGAGTCTGGCCTCGTGTATTTTCTTTAGATATGGTACCTCTAAGCCTCAGATGCAATGGTAGCCTCTCCTGTCATGGTTTAAACAGGGTGTATAGTTGGACTTGAGAAGAGCTTATTTCAGAATACTAGAATTAGGAGATCAAGACGGCATGCCGAGTCCGTTCTTCCCAGAACATTTTCAGTTCTAAATGACTCTCTGAGTTGAGTGGCAGTATTGGAATTTGCTGGGAAGTATGAAATGTAATTCTTGTTTGATGGATAGGATTAGAGCAGATAGAACAAAAATGCATTAAATTTTCCCCCAAGGGTTCCTTTTGCTAGTATCAGTTTACTTGGCTGCTTTCTTTATGTTTCTGTTCTCTCTTTTCCCCATAGAATTTCCTGTAAACTTTGCCTGTCAATCCAATCTTTATTGCTTTCATTTTTAATACTCCAATTGGCGCATTTTACAAAATAGACCAGCCATGCTAAAATGTAATGTGTGGTTTGCTTTGTCTGTACAAGAGGCTGAACCTGGATTTCTACCAGAAGTTAAACCACTGCACGGTGTATAAGGAGGGCTGTTTGTTGAGTGGCCTTGGATGCCTCACGTGTCATTATGAGCCTCAAATGCTGTTCAGTGCCTCACAAATAAGATTGTCAAGGAGAAGACTTAGAAGAATTTTCAAATGCAAACCGTGATTTTCATAGAAAAGGACTGTTTGTTTTTTTGTTTTTGTTTTTTTTCTAGTTTCTAATGCCCCTGCATGCTTAGAAAGTAGGTACATTATTTAAGCTTCCTCTTAGCATTTAATACATGGTGTTGGACCATCTTCTCCGGGCTGTCATTCCTCAGCTTCCTACCTCTTTCAGGGACCTTTCTCCTATGGTCCCGCCACCATGGCATTGCCCTTCCTGTATGATAATCACTGCTGAATTCCACAAGCTGCTCTGCATTTATTCATTCATTCAACGTGGAGTTACCAAGTATCTACTATCTCCCAGGCTCTGTTCTAGGCAACCATACTGATATACACTCAGCCCCCTGGGACCTGACATTCTAGAATGAGAAATAGTCAATACATTGTATTTGTCAGTTCAGACTGCCATAACAAAGTGGCTTGATTGATTTGGTGGCTTAAACAACAAAAATTTATCTTTCCTCAGTTCTGAATGGTAGAAATTCAAGATCAGTGTAGCTGATTCTGGTAAGGGCTCTCTTCTCCTGGATTGTAGATGGCTGCCATCTTTTTTTGTTTGTTTGTTTGTTTGTTTGTTTTTTGAGAAAAGATCTCACTTTTGTCCAGGCTGGAGTGTGATAGCACAATCACGGCTCACTGCAGCTTCGATCTTCTGAACTTAAATTATCTTCCCACTTCACCTCCCAAGTAGAAGGGAATACAGATATGCACCACCATGCCCAACTAATTTTTGTATTTTTGTAGAGACGGGGTCTCACCATGTTGCTTACACTGGTCTCAAACTCCCGGGGCTTGTTATGTCCTTACATGGCCTTTCCTCAGTGTGTGCATGTGAGAGAGCCTGAGTGAGCTGTCTGATGTATCCTCTTAAAGGAACACTAATTCTATTTCATTAAGGCTCCACCCTTATCTCCTCATTTAACCCCAATTACTTCCTTAGACACCCCATCTTCAAATACAGCCACAGAAGGAGTTAGAGCTTCAGTATGTAAATTTAGGGGATCACAAACATTCAGTCCATAATATATAAAAAGAATTTTTTAAATTACCACTTCAGATAGTGATAAGAGAACTATACAAATAAATCAGGAGAAGGGGATAGAAAACAATTGGGGTAGACATGGCCGTTGCTAATTTAGCTATAATCCTCTCTGAAAAAGGGACAGTGGAGTGAGACCAGAAATGAAAAAGAGACAGCCTTATAAAATGTTGAAGAAGCGAGCATTTTAGGTAGAAAGAACTGCAAGTTCAGTGTAGAGACGACAGTGAGAATGATGAGATCACAGGACAGAAAGTAGTTTGGTTGAATCCTAGTCAGCTACGGAGAAAAGGCTAAGAAAACAATATCAGAGAAGTAGGCAATAGCCTGATTGTGCTAGCCAGTGCAAGGACTGAACATTTGTTTTCATGGCAATGGAAAGTCTATGGAGAGCTTTAGGCTGATTAATACCTAAATATGGTACAATTTAAGTGACTAAATAAAGAAACTCAGAGGGATATTTTACAATCTTACCCATCTTTGTTAGATATAGTAAATGTTGAATAATTTTTTAAAATGAAAAGATGAGTGTTTTCTTACATAGTAATTCTTTTTAAAAAAATCAGATTTATTAGATATAATTTACATACAGTATATTCACTCTCTTTAGTGTACAGTTCGATGATTCTGACAAATACATACAATCATGTAACCGCCACCACAATCAAGATGTAGAACAGGTATCTCCCCTCCTCAAATTCCCTCGTGCTCATTTGGAATCAACCCCTTCCTCCACCCCTCTATATTTTTGCCTTTTCCCTAGTGTGATATAAATGAAATCACATAGTATATACCCCTTTGAGTCTGACTTCTTCCATTTAGCAAAATTTACTTGAGATTCCTCACGGTGAATGTTTCAGTAGTTATTTTCCTTTTATTACTAAGTTGTGTTCCATTGTATGGATGTGCCACAATTTGATTATTAATTCAGAGGAAGGACATTTGGGTTGTTTCCAGTTTGGGGCAAGCATGAATAGTCTCTATAAACATTTGGATTAAAGTTTTTCCATAAACAAAATTTTTATTTAATTTTGGTTAGTATGGAGAAATGGGACTGCTGGGCCATAGGGAATGTATATGTTCAGTTTTAAAAGAAACTGCAAAGCTGTTTTCCAAAATGGGTGTAATGTTTTGCTTTCCCAGTAACATTGAATGAGAATTCCACTTTCTCTGCATCCTTGTCAGCTGTTAGTATTGTCTTTAAAAGCAAAAAACTTTGCATTATCTCTTTTTGTCATTCTATCAGGTGTATAGTCAGTGGCTTCTTTTAAACATCACAACTATAAATTTATGGGTCTGGTGAGTATGGATAGTAAGAATGTAATGTATGATGGGATAATTTTTTTCATCTACACTATGTTTTTTACCCAAAAGAGTATGATCTTATCAAATCATTGTTAAGAGTTAAAGTACATTTAAGACTATAATTTAAGTACATTTAAGACTATATCTTTGCTTGAAGACTTTTATACAAAATAAGCTTAAAGAATTTATTCCTTGAATCCTGACAACCTTGAATTCAAGTCCTCCCATATTTAATGGGAGTCTCGTGGGATGCTTTCTTAGAAAGGCAACTCATGAAAATCTCTATTTAAAATATCAGTGACCCCTGAGGTTGGATGAAATCTTTGTCTCACAGATTCCAAGCTCAGTCATACTATTAGAAAAATAAACCATACTAATTGAGTTTTGCTGAAAGTACAATAAAGTGAATGAATTATACCGTTACTTCTCACATGCATTTTTCCAACCTATCCTCACATCGCTGACATACTCCATCTCAGGCAACCTGGTTTTGTCTGTTCTGTGACTGGTCACTCTAGCCTTTCACTTACCAGTAAGACACGGGGGAAACACAATTTAAAATTCTGCTGAAGGATTTGAGCATTCGATAACTCATGGACTCGACAGTATAGTATGGCAGAAATGGACATTTCACTGATTTTCATATCCAAAAGCTACCCTTTAATAGGTCTCCAGAAGAATCATCCCTCCTCTGATTTGTGAATTCCTGATCTTGTAGCATTCTACAATCGTTCAGTGAAGAGCTCTGGAGTACTAGAACATTCAATGTTTTTACAGAGTCTATAGGAGCTTATCATATAGTCGTCAGTGTCTCTGCCAGTGCCTTGACGTAATCCAGAAAGCATTCCTATTCCAACCTCAATTCCAATTGTCCTGTTGCTTCTCTTTTCATGGAGAAAGTATTTTCTGCATGAGGGCATGGACCTATGCCTAACACAAAATATCCATAACTTTCTAGGAACTGGTCTTTATTTCCTGACTGAAGACACAGATGCAGTTCCTGTATCTGTAACATCAGTCACTTTTGTAAAGCTTGGTGCTTTCATTTTGACTTTCTTTCAAAGCCTTTTAAACAACACTCAGCTTCTCTCCTCCTGCTGGTTTGGAGACAGTATTAAACTTACCTGGCATAAGGAAGATTTTGTGCAGCTAATTTTATAAGATGACTCCAGGTCATTTCATTCAGAGCTACTTATTTCTCTTAGTGGATTCAAATAGTGTAAATCTGGACATTCCTGTTAATGGTTGGTGGAAAAACATGCGGGTGGAAATATGTCTTTCCCATAGGTACTTGAGAGCATTTGATTAGAGGCCAGGCATGTAGCAACTTCGTGAATCTTCTTTTTTTTTGTTTTCTGTTTGCAGATTTTATTCTTCACCGTACAGTATTGCAACCAACCGCATGATTCCACAGACATCTATCACGCCATTCATTGCTGCTTCCCCTGTCTCCACATACCAGGTATGTCCGATTTACCTGCACCTTAGGAGATATCTTTCTTGCAGTAATACACTATTTAGAGGCAAAAAGGACACAGTAGAATGAAAAGAAAACATTTCTCATACACTTTAATCACATCTTAATGTAATAATACTCAAGTTATGAGTTAGTCTATACTTTCAAGAGCCTGTTTGCATCAATTCACTGGATAATAAAATCCAGTATGCTTTTCATTCTTCCTGCTGAGTTTTCATGATTATGCTACTTTCCAACCAACCTTAATACAGCTCTGTCACCACTGGGAAATTATTTTGTTTGTTGTCTGTTATTTTGGTTGTTCATGTTCCCTATTGTGTCTTTTCTAAAAGCACATTTCTAGCAATTCCTTCACTCACTCCAGGATATTTTGTCACTGTCATCTCATTTTGTCATGGTTGTCCTGGTAAAGCTCCATAGATAGATGTTAAATCCTGCTTCCCAAGAAACAGAAGAAATTATCAAAGTGGTAAAAAGTTGTTCCTATTCCCTGCTGTTATTCCATTCTCAGTTCAAGAGAGACCAAAAGAGACCTCAGGGGTTCCGCATGTTGAAATGGTGGAAAGTCTGAGACTCAATGTGTGTCATCAACTAGATATTCTAGCCAGTTAATTCCAAGTACATAGGTGGATTAAAATAGTCACATTTCTCCCTCTAACAATATCCTTTATTTTATTCCTCTGAGTTATTACGTATGTGATATTAATCTCCTCTCTACCTAATACTGTTCTTCAAACAGTTCTTCCAATTCTAATTAGAAAATGCCTATATATATGCTGCATGTAGAAAGTGTCTAGTGTCATTTCTGAAAAGTTTGGAGGGAGAAAGAGAGAATGCAAGCGTGTGTATGCATGTGCTTCTTGAATTTTGCAGCTGGTGGGGGTGGATGTTATATAATGGGTAAAACTGTAATGCTGCTGACTGCTACTAATTCAGTGAAGTTTTGCCTTGTTCAGTCACTATATACTTCAATTCAGGATATCCCGGCTGTCAGAGAATCAAACTTAAGACTATGTGCACTTTTCCTTAACTGATTCCCCCTGAAGCAGATCATTTTCTTTCTTTTTCTGCACTCAGATTCTTGAAACATATCCGTGGGCAAATGGAATAGATTTTTCATTTGAATTACATTAGAGGGTCTCTGAATGGCTGATTTCTTAATTGCCTTTCCTTGGGACCCATGAGGCTATGTGCAGGTGCTGTTCAGTTTTTGTTCTTCCTGCAGGCCTGCCTGGTTGTAATGTGCGTGTGTGTGTGTGTGTGTGTGTGTGTGTGTGTTTCCTTTTTCTTTTTTTTTTTTTTTTCTAATCATGGCCTCTGTTCCAGCCAAGACCACCCATTAAGCCACAGTGTAGAGCACTTTGGTGACATGAATAAAATATTCACTGAAGAGCGATTTTACTTGGGAGGGCTCATAAGTGGAATTTAACTCTAGCTCCCTTTTCTCAAAAGAAGAGATTGCAGCAATGATCTATGTTGTTGATGCTTACCTTTCACCAGGTTTTTTCAGTCCAAAGTGCTTTGGCAATTCTGTGTGTGTGAGTATACAAAAAAAAATCTTCTGAGTTCTCCATGTGACATTCAGCTTATATGGGCTGACTTTTTCATTTGGCTGACACGTGGCACATTTAAGAATAGTTGGCTGGCTGACATCTCATTTTTATTTGTTATACCAATTACCAGGAGAGAAAATAATTACAAACGTGTTTAACTTGGGTTAAACCAAAATAATTGCCCCAAATTTTTGGTTTATCTCTTTAGCTCTTACCACAACTTTTACCACTTGAACATATTTCTAAAATGGGATCACTTGAGCATTCGAAGTTACAACAGATGACAGAAAAAGAGAAAGTCTTAGCAGTCAACTCTTGCTTCCTTCATTACTTGCCATGACATCCCTGAGAGCTGATCTTCAAATGGTCTCTGAGGCCTCCTAAAACTTTAGCCTTCAACGTCAACCTCAAAATATGCTCCAAGACCCAGCCTGGGCTATGTGGGCACTGAAGTCAGCTCCATTGATATAGGAAGTTGCTTTACCTTTTACCTTGTTTCAGTGACCAATTTAATCAAGTCCAAGAATTGCCTTCTTATCTTACCCTTGGTTTTGAGCACGAATTAACTGTAAAGTCAGGTGGACTCCACTTTCTTATGACCTAGTGTGACTCCACTGAACACAAGAACCAAGTTCTCTCTATGATTGCTTTGTGCTAATAAATGCTGTTTGATGCATAGGTCCAGAGTACTTCATGGATGCCTCATCCGCCATACGTTATGCAACCAACAGTAAGTGTTCTCAGTCACCTGAGGCTAATATTTCTATTATCCAAGTACAAGCTTTTGGAATGCATAGAAGCTTTGGGGTAAAGCTTTTGTTATATTATGTAACTCTTTCAGGCAGCCATATTCTCCAGATAAAAAGCTGTTCCTGAAATTCTACAAAAGCATGTACGATAGATAGCTAGAGATCGACATAGACATAGAATTAGATAAAGAGAGAGGGTGACAAAACAAGAGAGTGAGAGAGAGAGAGTGTGTGGAAACTTTATTAGAGGAAATAGCAATCAGCCATTCAAGCTGAGTCTACCATTTCTTATGCATGAAGAATTTCTGCTTTATGTAGGAACTCAGAACTCCGGACAATTAAATTTATTCTACAAGGAAACTCTTTGTTTCCCTTCTCTTTCTGATATGCTTTTCTCTCTTTGGCCACAGTCTGATATGCTTTAGGGACAATTTGGAGTATCACAGACAAATTTTGACTTGAAGCAATATATTTCAAATATGAAGGTAGTTGTCTGCTAATAGATGAAGTTATATAGATAGATGGCAAGGAGTGTGAATATTTTCATGTTAATTAACTATAGCAGTTCTCTTTTTCTTTAGTGGAAATTTTCTCTCTGCAAAATATTCAAACTCTATTTTCTACTTGCTAGATTTCCCATTTTATGGCACAATATTACATCAATTCCAAGTGAAAAGCATGACGTAGTACATTAGAATCTAGACTGAAGGCTAATGATTGCGTTTATCTTTGCCTAGGTCTTCCAGGTTTTCTAGCTCTATAGAAGTGTGAGATAGAGATTTCAAAAGCAACACACTCGTGAGAGTGTGAGGCAGGAGAAAGAGCCCTAGACTGGAAGTTGTGTGACAAGGTCTCTGGTGAATCTTCTGGGTATGCTCTCGGTGCATTTGTTTCCTTTTCTGACACTATATACCTTATAGTGCTTTTGTGAGGATCAAATGAGAGATCATATGTAAAGACAATGTAAAAAAGTATACATGCTGTGCATTATTATTATCATTGTCCTCATTATTATTGCACATGTTCATTATACAAGGAAGAAGCAGTGCTAAATTTTAACCCCTTTAGAAGATAAATGTAAATAAGTTAGTATATAGTAAAGACCAGGGAGCTAAACACATAGGCATTCATTTCCTGGACTCAAAAAATTAGAGAATCTGCTTTCATATTTCAGCTGTGTCCATTTTATTTTTTTAAATAAGGAACTTTTCATGTTGCTCCAAACATTTGGATGGTTTTTAATTTAAAGAATAAAATATATGTAGTTTACCACAGCAGAACTTTGTACCATATTTTGCAAAGCCCTTTATTTACCATTATTTACACACCTTGAGGGCTTTCTGAGTTCATCTAGTCTATGTTCTATAAATCATATGCAACAAATCCAGGCTACACTTTTCTGTCCAAGTCATAAGGCAAAATTCAGTATGTGCTGCCAAACCAATACATAGGATAGCAAAGACTAAGCCAACAGAGGAGAAGGAAAGAAGTGCTGCCAAGTTCTCAAGAGGAGACTTTCTGGAAGGAAAAAACCACCTTCTCAAAAATGTGTTCATCCATAAAGCACTAATGCTAACTTAGCCCTCTTATTGAGTTTTAACATCATCTCTTTGTGGCCAAAATGAGTGCACATCTGGCAAAATCTGAATATTTTACCAGATATCAAACTATGTAAGATTCTTCAGTACTTCTAGATCTATTAGGGGCAGGGAAGATGGTTGTATGGGACTTTATTTCAGCTGTCACTCAAGACTTTTACAAAGTTTTTCAAATACCTCCTTTTGCACCCCAGTACAGCTTCAGCCTCATGTTTGCATGTATTATTTCTGTGCGTGTATTATTAGTGTATGTGTGCATGTGTGTGTGCTTTAATTTGTCCCTTTAGATTTTCCTTGCTGTGGCTACTACTCAGAGCTGATATCATATCTCTTCCCATGACTAGATTATGCATCATACTTGAGCTTAGGCCACTAGGTTTAACTGTAATGTTTATGGCTGGGGTGGATTCCTGGAAAAATAGAAGTGACTGGGCCACCCACCACTTTGCTATCTTTTAGATGGAGAAAAGGGCTAAACACTGTCATGGAAACACAGAGTTTGTACCATCAATCATTGCCCTGTAATAATCTTGTTGGCTGTCCATATTACATAAGTAACTTTACCCAACTGGCTTTAATTTTATCATCAAAGTGAGGGTAAATCACCCTATGATACTAAAATATAAAAATATTTAAGCTATCTTAGACTACAAATCAAAAATCTGAATCTGAGAAGAATTAATAAGGAACTTGACGATTAACAGCATGGATTCTTGTTTGAGCTCATTAGGATAGGAAACCCTTCTTAGCAAGGGGGTACTGAGTTATTTACGTAAACTTTCTGAGACACAGTTTTCTCATGTGTAACATGAACATAATAATACATAAATAATTGTTTTGTTCATTAAATGACATAAGGCATTAAAGCTCTTAAAATAATTTCTGATAAAGAGCACTCAATAAATTATTATTTAATTATATTAGTAAACTTCTCATTATGCTTTAAATTATCCCAATTTTATCAAATGAGTGCTGTTATAAGCAGAAAGCTAAAAATAAGCAACTTTGTTGAGAATCATCTACTTCTACCACATTCATAGTGCTAATTACCTTACTTTGCTAATGAGTTTGGTGGAGAGAGACTCTGTGGCTATAAACAAGACAAATTGCTTACATTCGTACTTATTTCACTTACTTTCTAAAGATTCAACACCTAAAACTTAAAAAAAAATGCCCATTGAGAATCTCATTTTTTCGGTAACTGTAGACTACTTTACAAATAAATTCAAGGTGTCAAAATCTACGTCTCAAATATATTGCCCATAATTCCAATTTGCTTGCAAGTTTTCTTCTCTATCACATTTTCTCTTTCCTCACTTTATGATAATTTCATGCAGGAGGTTTTATTGTACAGGAATATACCTCCCCTATCGCCAAGCACGTATACTGACTCCTGAGTTGAAGATGTATTGCCTAGGCTAGAAGCCCTTTGGGTTCTCTCTCAGGCTTGACTTGAAGGGCTCTAATGTCTCAATCTAGTTTGTATTTGAAAACAGCGCTTCCTTAAAGTTCTAAAATAGAGCACAATGTCCTTGATCTCTTTGCCAGGGAGGATGAATACGTCAACTGGAGGGGTAACACTTGGTAAGAGAGAAATGAAATAGCACAGAGAACGAAAGGGAACAGTAGAGGCATGAAAGAAGAACAGAAAACATACGCATATCATTTCTACAGTTTGCCGTTTAAGTTTATTTCTTTGGACATTTGCTTTTCTAAGTAATGTGCTTGTAGATTTAGAAAAAAAATACTCTGGGAAGAAAGGATAGACATCTCCCTGCATGGATTATAATTCTGGTGTTTTGGAAAGAAAAGAGATTTCTTTCATTGGACCCTGGGAACTTATTGGATCTCCTGGAAAGCTGTCACACCCCATGTAGGGAAGCAAGAGCATTTCTGTTTGCCTTTTGTTGTTCACCTGAACAGACTCTGAGAAGACAGCACTGTTAGACTAAATTAGGAATTCCCTTTTTGCTGAGAAGTAAAAATGCTGACTTTGTCGATGTAGTTGGTTATTTGTTTCTGCTTCTCAGCACAGACGTCTGTACTGCATGCTGAAATCTCACCACTGCACTGACAGAATTTTAATAGTTGATGGATTGCACCAAATATCTACTCTACAGAGCAGTATGTTACATTGGAATGTCATATGAATACACAATTGAAATTCCTGTGTTCCAATACATTGGATATTTTGTTATGTCTGTATTACTGACAAGGAGAAAAGATGATAGTTTTCAAGAGGAAGCAGCGTTCCACTTTCTTAAACTTTATTTAAGTTCATTTGAAGCATAAATCTTCTGTTCTTGATATGGTTAGTGTTATATCATCTCAAGGAGAAAGGTCAGTTTTCATTTTGACTTAATTACAAATTGGTTATCTAATTACAGTATTCTAAGAAATACAAGATGCCCTTATTGAATCAATACATGATTTGTTGCCATGGCAACAAATGACCAAAAAAGTTGCAAGCAAATAAAAAATTGAAACTGTTATGATTAATAAACCCTGATTTTTCAGCTAAAGAGCAAATGTAAACTGCTTCTCTACAACCAGACTGTTTAAGAAACCCCAGAATACTTAATTTGGTCATTCTTTGCCCTTAAACATGTAAGGCCTAAGGGCTAGTTTTAGAGTTGTGTCCTTCAAATTTGTAGGGGTGTGTTTTGAGAAGGCGTTATCACCAAATTTGCCCTAATTACTGTAGAAAATAGTCTTGGCTTGGCTATTGTTAAATATAACTTCAAAATTTTACAGTAATTTTTTAAATATAATCTCAGGCGACTTCAGTAAAATAACTTTAAACAATGAAATGCAAGGCTTATAATTCAAAAGAAGTGTATAGAGTATAAAAGATTTTCCTCCTAGGATCCCTTCATTCATCATTTCTATTCTCCAGAAATAAACCTTGTCAACAAAATCAGGTATTTCTATCCAGTCAATTTTATGTGCATATGAAAGTATATATTTGCATGTGTGTAAATGTGTATTTTTAATATGGAAACAATATTATTCTACAAATATTGTATTACAATTTGCTTTATTTTTCCTCAATAATAAAATGATCTGGATGTCAATAAATGTGAGTCTCATATAGATCTATATCAACTTTGATAACAGCTCCATTATCCACTATTGTATAGATGCACCAAAAGGTGTAATTTCTTGAAAACTCAAGACTGTAATATTACGCCCTAGTGAGAAAACATCTATCGGATAAGTTGCTGACACAAAAGATATTTACATTTTAAAATTTGATATATATTATTGTCAAACTGCATTTTAGATAGCAGTTTCTTTTTCTCCACAACCTCAGTTAAAAGCAGGTGATCTCAAGTTTTAGACATTTTGTTAATGTGGTAAATGTCTCACTGATACTTTACTTT